AGCAAAGAGGTTTTACTTGTTTTGGTTCTCTCAGCATTTCTGTGTGACAAACAGTCATCTTTAGGAAGCCTGACTGTGAGGAGGGAGGGGAAGAGAGCTACTTGAAATTCATGAGTATCCTATACTCTGTCTACAGATCCTTTAACTGACCTTTAAAATCCTTGTTATAAAAAACCTGAGCCCTTTTCTCCATCATACATTTGACACGGGTGCTGTGGCCAGGACATACAAGTACCAATTCCTCTAGAACACTCCACCAGGAGAAGTTCTTGCTCGAGTAACTCGTCATCTCGGTTTTGTGAGATGCTGAGCTCTTCCAAGTGGGTTGAGAGGTGACTGAAAAGCATTATTTGCTTGGTTGACTGTAGAAAGTGTAGAGAAGTTTCATTGAAAAGCAGCCCCAGTGAATAATAAATACAGAGTAACCTGTCTCCTTTGCTCAAGGAGCTGGTTGTAGATTTCTCTGAAAGATCAAAGCCAAAAAATAAATCACTACAAAAATACCTGAGGCTTTGCCAGCTCACAGTATCTTGACTGTTAGTTTTTGAGTTTCCAGTCTGTGCTGTTTGGGATCTGGCAATCTTAGTATTTACCAAGGCAAAATAAAGAAAAAGAGCCATGACAAATGGGCTTTGGGGCCATCAGCTGGGAATTGCAGGGACTGTGTCCTGTTTTAGCCAATACTCTGTGTAGCTCTCTGGTACTTCCCCCAGATTCATTTCCCTTTTGGATGTGTTTGCACAGAAGGAAAAATGAAGAACTCGAGTGAAAACCTGAATGCAGAGCATGTGATCTCATTGAATCCATTTCAGTAAATGATTTTTTTTTCTTCTAGCTCTGCTGAAGTGAGCCCAGGTGATGAAATCCTGACACTGCTACAGACAACATCCATTGATTTGAAGGAATTAGAGAGAGAAGCAGCTTGTCTTCCTGCAGAGGATGGTGAGCTGGGTGGGGGGAATTATTCCTATTACAGATGATTCTTTGTGAGGGGAGAGGGAGCAAATCCAGCCTTTATTAAGACTAAATACTGGATTGGGTCTCCCAATTTAGTGTGAGCCTTTTTCTTCTTCCACTTATTGGCCGAAGGATTCTCAGTGACCAGAATGGTATCTCTTAGTGTGAACTCTGCAGAGTTTTAAAGTAGTGAAATGAAATATCCACTCTTTTCTTCTCAGCCTCTCTCTGCCTTATGCCATATGTGACCCAGGATCAGCACAAAAACTTAACTGCAAAGTGGTTGCAGTCCTGTCAGTCAGCTGGTTTGTGCCCTGTTGGCCAGCAGGCCTGTGCAGAGTAACAGATCTGTCCTGTGTTCTTTCAGATGACAGCTGGCTGGATATTACACCAGATGCTCTGGATCAGATGCTGAAGGAGGCAAGAAATGAGTCCCTTCCTTCCACAAATGAGGAAGAGGAAAAATATGACTTGGAAACAGTTGCTGAGAGCATGAAGGCTTTTGTGTCCAAAGTGTCCACGCATGAGGGAGCAGAAATGCCATGGTAGTAGCACTTTGACTTTGGAGTGTGGTGTAGAATGTTGTGCTCTGCTGCAGCCCTGTGGTTGATTCTGTGATGCAGAGAACCAGGGTTTGAAGGTGTTCTGCTCAGCAGGAGCCTGAAGCAAACCCATAGCAGTGAATATGGACTTGCTACCACTCTGACACTGGTGCAGGTTAAAGTGCTGCAAGCTGAGCTGCTCTCTGTCACTCAGTTTGATTTTGTGGTCTTCAAAATCTTTCTCTTTAATGCCAAGAATTCTTCCACTCACTGTTTCATGTCTCATCCATACAGGCTTCAAACTTCTGAGGACTCCTAAGTTCAAATGTCCCAACTTCAATCCTGGCTTGAGAGAAATCAATATGGCTTGTGACTGTGTCAGGCTTAGGCAAGCATAAAAGTTTTATTTATTTAAAAATATTTTTGTATTTCAGGGCATCTGATGAATCCCATGTTACCTTTGACGTGGATTCTTTTACGAAAGCACTGGACAGAATTTTAGGTGAGATTGCTTCTTTATTTGAAATAAATCCCAGCACTGATTTCTTTGCTGTGGTACTGACACAAAATAACACCCAGGGGCAGACTCGGAGGAGCTGGATTCTGATGATCTGGATGAAGAGGAGGAGTTTGATTTCTCAGATGGGGATGATGAAGACCTGGATGCTGGAAACCAAAGGCAGGAGCAGAAGGTGTCTCCTGAGGAGCTCCTGGGCAGTCTCAGGTCGTACATGAATGAGATGGACCGTGAGCTGGCACAGACCAACGTTGGGAAAAGTTTCACCAAAAAGAGAGGGGTGAGTATGCCTTGAGCTCTCATTTGTAGAAGTAACTTCCAAACAGGAAATGTGCTGAAAGTGGCTGTTCTGAGTGATGTGATCAAAACCTTCCCACGTGCCAGCAAAGTGGGCTGTAGTTGCACCATAATGAGTTTTTTTTCAAACTAAAGCTTACTTACTTTGAATTTGCACATCTTTCCCAAGACTTGGTTTCAGTGCCCTGTTTTTAGCAGTGGGGCAAGCAGCTGCAGCTTGATTTGTGAGTTCCTGCAGTAGTTTGCTCCTGTAGGAAGCTGAGCCAGGACTCAGCAACACTTTCTTCCCTTGGAACTTAAATCTGAGTCATGGGCAGTGGTGATTTTTAGCTGGCATGAGCACTTGGTGGCTGAATTCCTGTCTGTCAAGACTCTGGAACGTGCTGGACTTTGTTTGCTGCAGAATTGTTGTTTCTTTTCTCTTGTGGCTTGTCTTTTTTTCCCCCTTAGATCTGCTCATGCAATTTGATAAACTTTTCTCTTTGGACTCGCTGCAGGCAAGTTCTGCTGAAGCAGCCACATCTGAGAGTGCTGGCCCTGGTTCTGGAGCTGAGGATGCTGAGCTGGCACCTGTGGATGTGGACATGAACCTGGTGGCAAACCTGCTGGAGTCCTACAGTGCCCAGGCTGGGCTGGCAGGACCCACCTCGAACATTTTACAGAGCATGGGGGTGAATTTACCTGAGAACACAGATCTCGCTGGCTCGAGCAGCCGAGCAGAGCAGTGAGAGACTTTGGACAAGACGTGGCTGGCGGGGAAATGAAGCACAGGTGGATGAGCAGGATGTGGAAGAGGAGGCCAAAGGTTTTAATTTCCAGCATTCTGTTCATTCTGTGTCACTTCAGCAAAGTGAATTTACCTGCAAAAGCCTTCTGTTTGGACCCTGTCTTGGATGGAAATGAGATTTTCCCAGTGCTAACACATTTTCAGAAAACTGAAAAATGATGTGACTCGAATGAAACTTCTATTACAAAACCTCTCTTCCATTTTTCCAATCAGTGATCCAGTTTGTCACATTTCTAAAATGTCCTTTTACACACTGCTAAGTGGTTTCAGTATCTGGGAAGCAGTTCTTGTTCTGAAAATGCTGCTGCCTTCAGGGGGAGGTGGGGAAGTACCACGTTACAGGAAGAGTCTCATGGATTTGGGAACACTGGTTAAATGTTGGGCAGACATTTAATCCTTCCCAAAAGCACCATGCTGCACTGTAAGAACCTCTGACAATTGCTCTAGGAGCCTGTTCCTTATTAAGCACGAGGATTTGAAGAGTAATTGGATCAAATATGTAAATATTGGCCAGAAGTATTTTTAAAATTTATTTCAATAAAAACAGAAATACAACTTGATTATTGGGGTTTTTTTTGAGGATATATATAGCTTCCTGAGTGAAGTATCAGTTATTGGAGTGAAAGCATTTTAATAATTGGTCATTTTCTGAATTCCACTATTGCTGAATGTTGGTATCATGCCAGCAGTAGCTGTATGTGAGCCCAGGCTGAACAGTTTTGGGGTTTTTTCAGTGAAAATGGGGCTAGAAGGCATGCACCATGCTGCTTTCATGTGGAATGAAAAATCTATTCTAGATATGACAACTTTTGTTTCAACAAGACAAATTTGAAGTAAAATACATAGAAATTCTTGATTTACACACATGAACAATGCAATCCTTCTGGGTCCAAATCTTACTAAGTTTTCTATTTTATTTTTTTTTTTAGCAGCAATTAATCACTTGTCCTCCATTGATATTGTATAATTTACTTTGTCAACAGTTCAGGAAGAGTACTGGCAGGCTGGACAAGGATTAGAGATGGACAGCAAGAGCTGGGAGGTGTACAGAAGGTTCTGCTAGAGTTCAAGGAGTTTGGACTGCTGAGAGGTGAGGTGGGCTGCAGACTCAGACAAACCTGTGCTGGAAAAATGACATTAATGGGAGCTTTTGAATACAGACAATGAGCAGTTAGAGGTGGAAAACAGAGGTACTTGAACCTTGGAAAGGGTTTATGTTTGACCACAGAAGGTAATTAACACTGAAACTACATAAAATTCTCCACTGATGAGCAGTTAGATCAAGTTTAGATACTTTAAAAGAGACCTGAGTTTAGAACATGATCACATTCAACTGTTGTGTGGCCTGTGCTATACAAAAGGTCAAAATAGATTGGGGAACTCTTGCAGTGAGTGAGGAAAAAGCCTAAGCTGAGGTTCAGCACAAAGCTGCTCTTTTGGAAACACTCCAGCTGATCTTGCTGCTTGGATAATCTCACTTTTCCATCAGTGGGACTGGGATTTCTCTGGGGCTGTGCTCATTCCAACTACTGACATTTGTTCAGCAGCTTCACACTGGAGACCTTCAAGGCTCTGCAAGTGCTCACAGCACAGTTTGCCATGGAAGAATAAGCATTGCCTCTTCCACTGCTTTGAAGTGACACACGAGGCATCTCTGCTTTTAATTTTGAGAGTATTTTTAGTGAAGGAAGCCTGATGGAATTAATTAGGGAAGACAAGGGCGGTGTGGTTCCCTTTCAGCAGATTTCTATCCAAGTATATTCTGAAGCTGTTTAACTGGCATCACATTCCAACACAATTTATTCACTTTGCTCACCTCAGCACCTGCCTTTTGTTCAGCCCCACTCAGCCCAGCACTCCTGACCCTTCCCAAGCCCGTGGTTTTCTTGTTTGTGGCTTGACCCCTGGCAGCCCCAGTTCTGAACAGTGGAGTTGTTGATGGGTACGCTTCAAGCATGAAAACACATAATGGATCTTTCATCTTCCATCTATGAGATCAAAATTAACCCCAGGGGACACAGAGACCTTTAACCTCTTAAAACTCTCCGGAACACCTGGGCACTTTGGCTGCTGCCAAACTTT